TCAGGTTAAAGACAGTTCTTTTTGTGTGTGCTTCAACTAAAGGATTTTATCTCTACTCTTTTTAATGCCTTGTTGTAATCTGTTATTATACGTTTTCATGTTTTTTACCTGTGTGATTTAACTGTTTTTAAGGGTGGTTTTAGTGTTTGTTTTATGTGATGATTTGTGCTTTGTGTGATGTGGACTGTGGAGGCGCTCTACAAATAAGGATTGGTTGATTGGTTGGTTGGTTGTGGTTGGTTGGTTGGTTGGTTGGTTGGTTGGTCGTTGAGTTGGTTAGTTGGTTGGTTGGTTGTGGTTGGTTGTGGTTGGTTGTGGTTGGTCGTTGGGTTAGTTAGTTGGTTGGTTGGTTGTGGTTGGTTGGTTGGTTGTGGTTAGTTGGTTGTGGTTGGTTGGTTGGTTGTGGTTGGTTGGTTGGTCGTTGGGTTGGTTAGTTGGTTGGTTGGTTGTGGTTGGTTGGTTGTGGTTAGTTGGTTGTGGTTAGTTGGTTGTGGTTGGTTGGTTGTGGTTGATTGGTTGGTTGTGGTTGGTTGGTTGGTTGTGGTTAGTTGGTTGTGGTTGGTTGGTTGGTCGTTGGGTTGGTTAGTTGGTTGGTTGTGGTTGGTTGGTTGGTTGTTGGGTTGGTTAGTTGGTTGTGGTTAGTTGGTTGGTTGGTTGTGGTTGGTTGGTTGGTTGTTGGGTTGGTTAGTTGGTTGGTTGGTTGGTTAGTTGGTTGGTTGGTTGTGGTTAGTTGTTGGTTTGTTGGTTGTTGGGTTGGATGTAGGTAAGTAGGTAGGTGGATAGATAGATAGATAGATAGATAGATACATAGATAGATACATAGATACATAGATAGATAGATGGTAAACTAAAATAGGGCTGGTTGAAACAGAGCTCTACTCCCTCCCACTGATGTTTGCAGATGTTGTGTCGATGGGCAAGACACTTGGTGCTATGCAGATTGGATGGCAGCTCTTCACCCGCACCTTTTCCGGATTTAAAAACACATAACCGATCCCACAATCGCTTGTTTGAACATGCAATTCCACAAGCACCTTTCGCGGGCTGTGATCTGACACTCGGTGGTTAAACCCACGCAGAACATTTTGACTTTTGTCCTCTCTTTTAGTTTTATGCAAATGTCCTCGGTTAAGCTAGCACAGGACGAGCCCTGCAGTCAAGCACACACGACCTGTTCTCTGTTTGTGCGAGAGCTGCAGCCGTCATCAACAACATAACCACCCATTTTATTCCCCCTCCACCTGCTGTAGTAGTAGGAGCGTGCATACCAGACCAGAAATACTACTACTTTCAAATACTGTAGAAAGGAGAAGCGGCAGCAGCAGTCACAGAATAGGTATTATGCATAATTTGTCTCTGCTAGACCTTGAACTTGAGATGCGTTTTAGAATATGAAATTAGTTCCAAAATATATGAGATGGGCAGAAATAAGCAAACACTACCATCTGGTGATGGAGGTGGAGAATTGCACCCTGCTTTCATATTCCCAGAATATAAATCACAACAGCGGTCGTCTCAGATTACTTTCATAGTTGTTGATGGGCCAACAAGAGCAGAGAATCAAAGTTCGAAAAAAACAGGAACTGCAATAATAACATAATAATGCATGAATGTTAATAAATGTCTCGGAACATCAGTGTCCTTGGTCCCTCCTGCATCGGCAAAGAACAAAAACAGCACGTTAAGACTGATGGGTTCTGATATTGGCGTTGAAATCTCTAATGCCACGTTGAGTAAATTGAGATAAATAAAGATGTTGTATGCGGATTGAGACGCACACCTTTTTTCTGTGGGGATTATATTTCAATTCATTTTTTTAAGTTTGTACTGAGGAAAATGACGCAGAGGTCTCGGGTCGTGTCACAAACGGAAGATCTGTTTTATTGATTATAACAACAAGACAATATTTTCTGCTTTTGACACTTTGCCATTTTCCTTTTCTATCTTTCTGTGCCCAAATAAGTGTGTTATAGTTGTAGAGGCAGCAGGTAAAGCCCTCTCCAGTCCAGATCAAAGCCACATGGTTCACACCTCCTGGTATCACCTTTCACATAAACACCTCCTCCTCTGTGCTCCACGGACAGGACTATGATTATATAACTACTATTAATTTACACTTTTATAGCAGCAGGAAGAGCAAGAAGGAGCAAACAGAAAATAAATGGCCAAATATATACGTATTATTTTCTTCAATTCCAGATTTCTCTGTTAGATGAGCAGGAAAAACAATAAGTCTCGTAATTCTGGGGTTAAGGAGAAAGCAGAAATAGCACTATATGGTCATAGTCTGTGGATTCATACTGAGTTTTGAAATTAAATTCAATTAAATGTATTTGTGTATAGCTCTAACTCTCAGCAGCAGTTGTCTTGGAAGACTTAACAAAGTTGTTCATTTGCCAACAACAGATCAAAGAATCAAACAGTTATAATAACAAATACATTTCCATTGGTTCATAGGGAGGGAGATGACCATTGTCAATGTTGATAAACATCCCGGATTATCAATGTCCTTAAACCCTTCTGCATCGGCAAGGAACGACTCGAAAATAAACAGAATGAAAAAAGTGAGAAACCACGTTGAGAGAGAGAGAGACCTGCTCCCACAAATAAGACAGGCTGTAGATCCAGGACTGCGGCTGTAGATTCAGGACTGAGGCTGTAGATCCAGGACTGAGGCTGTAGATCCAGGACTGAGGCTGTAGATCCAGGACTGAGCCTGTAGATCCAGGACTGAGGCTGTAGATCCAGGACTCAGGCTGTGCAGGACTGTAGAGGCTCCTATAGACGGGGAGGGGGGTGTAGCCCACAAGTCTTATCCGGGGGAGAACAGTCCACAGGTGCCGATATATAAATATTACAGTAATAACTCAATAAACATAATGTCATGGTTGTCATTTTTGTATGTTTTTGTATCATCTGTTTGTTTGAGTTTTACTTCCTGTTCTGTCGATTGCCCCGCCCACAAGTGTTCCACCTGTGTCCTATCCCTGTTGTCAGTGTTGTTTTGTGGTTCTTTCTTTTGTCCTCTGTTTTACATTCATTTCAGGTTTTTTATTTGTTTATCTTATTTATTAAATAACATTATTTTTGTAGTTGTAGGGTGAGAAAATGTCGATATCACACATAACTTAAGTTATGTACCTGATATCGGAGAATTGGATCAAAAACAACCATGTAATAAATACAATAATTGATAATAGCTTTATTTAGGGGCACCAGGGAATAACTCCCAACTGATAACGTGCATATGACGTCACAGTATCAATTAATTGGCTCATTTATTGATTAAGTAATCTCATGAGTCCTTTCATTATTTAATTAGCTAGTTAGTCCAATTCTCTTCAATAGAATCTGAAGGTAGTGAATTCTTTTACAAATCAGTGACCCAATTTTTGGAGTTAAAAGTACAAATATCACTTTCAGACAAAGATGGTTTTGTAGATTTAATGAAGTATACACAATACAGTAGATATGAACTATGCAAATTGTCAAGAATAACATGAAGGAAACGTTGATTTCAAGATACATTGTTAAAATGCTAGGCTAAAGTGAGCTAAGCAAGACCTTTGTCTATGAATGGATTGGTATAGGCTGAGGCCTGCATGTGTTCAGCCTTGGTAGGAGAAGTATTCTTTGAAGTATAGGTTTTAATAAAGCCAACAACTGTGTGTAGCAAGAGAGCAATCATACAACCAGAATAGCCTTTGGTGAATAGCAGTCCTTGGGTCTTGATGGTGTTGGATGGAGGCTTCTTGTCCACGGGGCCTGGACCATGCGGCTGCATCATGTGGCTGAACCAAGTCCTCCCACGATCCACAGTCTAGGTGCCAAAACTCAGCAACTTCTTCAGGTTGAAGCTGGAGGGTATTGAAGGGTTGTGGAAGTCCTCTCAAACGTGGAGCTGAGGTTTGAGGCCATCTAAGAGGCCCAAAGCCCCTTGGTTGCCTGAGCAGAGCCCAGGGCAGAGCCCAGGGAGGTCTGGTCACTCCGTGGTTCCAAAGCAGACTGGTTTGTCTTCCCTGTGGGTCCTTGTAAGTCTTCACATCTGGTAGAGTCGTTGGGGGAAGGGTGTTGCCATGGCACTTATCTTAAGACATTCTTACCCACAATAAAACCTGAACCACAAGGATTTACACACAGAGACAGAAGTTATAATATGTCTCAATATACAACAAAATGTCTTTGATTGAGGAAAGAGGTCATTTTAATTTCTCCTACATAGTATTGTATTTTGGGTGACACATGATTGCAATACACTGGTTACACTACAACTACATATTGTACCATGTCTTGTAACCATTGGGGGCGGGTCCCGGCTCCAAAAGGTCCATGAACACGTGCGCTTACATGCTTTCAATCTCATTCCGAGCCGGTGGGGGTGTACCCGGAAAGAGAATTACCCAATGCTTTTGTATGGCGTCTTTTTTCCTCTTGAAAACGGCTTCACGGTATGGTTCAAAAGTCGATGAGTATTTTTTTTTTTTTGGGACCAGTCTAGTTTTGCCGCTCTGGACTTTTGAATGCACTTGTTAAATGAATGGGGCTAGTGCCGGCTAACGCATGCGCAAATACAGACAAATACAGGCGTGACTACGTCTGTTAATATTTACAGTTATGGTAGTACCACTCAGAACTGCTGTTAACCCCACAACAACCACTCTGTCCTCACCTCATATTTTTACTTCCATACGAATGTTACTTATGTCTCTGTCTTTGCTAATACTATATTATATACACTCTGCTGCTGCTGCTGCATCGACCACTACTCTGTGGCACACTGAATAATGAGGTGTTGGAGCAGATCACATGTTACAGACCACAAAGTATATGTAGCAAGAAGGAAATGTGTCAGCGAGGATTTACAAACTGACAGAGATTCAAACAATGCAGCGTGAGCGAAAGTAGCTGCTTCCTCTTCAGCGATAGATCTCACGGCTGGGTTTCCTCAGAGGTGAGAGGATCTATTGTGGTGGAGGAGAGGAGACCGGGGGGGAGGAGACATGGGGGAGAGGAGACTAGGGAGAGAGGAGACTAGGGGGAGAGGAGACCAGGGGGAGAAACCAGGGGAGAGGAGACCAGGGGGGAAGAGACCAGGGGGAGAGGAGACTAGGGAGAGAGGAGACCAGGGGAGAGGAGACCAGGGGGAGAGGAGACCGGGGGGGAGGAGACCAGGGAGAGAGGAGACAAGGGAGAGAGGAGACAAGGGGGGAGGAGACAAGCGGGAGAGGAGACCAGGGAGAGAGGAGACAAGAGGGAGAGGAGACAAGGGGGGAGGAGACAAGGGAGAGAGGAGAAAAGGGGGGAGGAGACCAGGGAGGGAGGAGACAAGGGGGAGAGGAGACAAGAGGGAGAGGAGACAAGGGAGAGAGGAGAAAAGGGGGGAGGAGACCAGGGAGAGAGGAGACAAGAGGGAGAGGAGACAAGGAGGAGAGCGAGGAAAAGCCACTAAAGCAATCTACAGGGAGATTTAAGATTAAGAGATCCTTTATTTGTCCCCCAGTGAAGATATTTCAGTGTTGCATCACCAGTTACAGAACAGTAGGAATGAGGAAAGTGAACAAAAACTCTATACTGAAATGAAATATAATCTCTAACTTAAGCATAATAAAGAAGCAAGTATAGTAAACTGTATATTCTATGCACGAAATATAAAGTTGTATGTTTACATCTGTATGTTAGACACATGTGGTTCTATAGTCTGAACTTAGTTAAGCTGGGGTACCTAATAAGTAAACTCTGAAAGAATATCTGTAGTTGCGTATGGTTTTCATACACATGTATTTTTGGCCTCTGTCACATATTTAGATCAGCTTTTTCAGACAGAAAAGGGTAAAAGCCACTGGTTCTAAAGCCTGTTCTTCCATGGGGGCTCTCCATGTAGGCCTCCCCAAGAGACATAAAGTTCCTTGCCGATGCATGAGGGTCTAAAGACAGTGTTGATCGGGACATTTCCGGACATGGTCATCCCGCTCCATATGGACCAATGGCCCCTATGTGTTTGTTATCTTTACTATTCCTATGTTAAAGCTGCCATACCGATTCAGCCAATCAGATTCAAGCCCAACTATAACTCACATAGCTCTTTCTTAAAAGTATGCAGAATACAACATGTTTTCTAGTAGGATGAAGGCTCTTTCTTTTGAGACAAACAACTTGGATTATGAAAGAATTAGGAACCCCTGCTTTAAATGTTGGCCTATGTTTTTCATCTGAATTTAGGATTGACTCAAGTGAAGCTACAGAACTGCAAACTCTCAGGGATACTTTTGCCCTGGTAAACTTTTGTCCTGTGTTTGTCACATCAGCAGAGACATGTGTAACACTATATTCTACCAAAAGTAAGAAAGGAGATGAGAAAGATAAGGAAAGGAAGGGAGGAGGGATATGTCTATGTGTGTGTGCGTGTGTGTGTGTGTGTGCATGTGTGTGTGTTTGTGTGTGAGAGTAGCCAGTGGAGGCGGCCTGTGATCAAAAGAAGATTGACATAAATAAAGAGCCTGCAGGAATGCATTGTGCAAACAAAATATGAGCGGGGCCCCAACACATTCCCCAGTGAGAGCTTCAGAGGGAGGGGCCCATCAGGAGGGCCGGTGGGGGGGGGGGACATCACGTAGAAGTGGGCAGCAAAAGAGGGGGTCAGACAGAGGGGCAGGTCAGGTGGTGAGAGAAAAGGAAGAAGAGAAGGCTGGTGTTTGTAGCTATAGGAATTAGTGACATGGGTTGCAGTACTTTTTGTGGTTTCCATTTTAGGGACCTCAGCTTTAATACATAAAGAAGGCTTTATGCTTTGGATTTTAGTTATGGGAGGGATGCCCAAGCTTTTGAGTCTAGGATCCTCAGAACGGCCAATCCGACTGGACTGGGAGACCGGGTGATCAGAAATGGACAATTGAATAAATATTATGTAATCGGATTAAATTTCCATGAAAGAAAATTATGTATTTATCTCACGACACGAAGATGATTCCTGGTGACCCCACTTTGGGAACCACTGGACACCACTGACATCTAGAATCTCAAATTGAATCCAAGACAACTTTAGAAACACACACACTAACTTTTGCTGATTTGCACTTGCCCTTTTATGATACTATAAAAATGCCAACATTTCAGCAGATCAAAATATTGTCCCTAGCCCTGGGACCCCTGGGCTGCACCCGCTTCCCTGCTTGGGAGTCTGTTCAGTCCTGGATCAACAGCCTCAGTCCTGGATCTACAGCCTCAGTCCTGGATCTACAGTCTCAGTCCTGGATCTACAGCCTCAGTCCTGGACAGTGGTCATCCCGGTTCCTCCAATGTGCTTGTTGATTGTATTTTCTGAGTTTGAACTGTTTCATTGGTGAATCGACAACCTTATAAAGTCCTCCGACACGACTGCGATTGTGATTTAGGGCTGTCCACAGAAAACTTTTTAATTTAACTTATATTAAAGCAAGCAGCTGTGATGAGTGTCATTTCCATGGCTCCATTATACACCAAAAATAGGTTGAGGTGTGATTTCAAGTTTCTTTTCTTGTTTTGTTTAGCACTTTGAGTTGCCTTGTGAATGAATGGTGCTATACGTATAAAGCCTGGCCTTGTCAACTCTAACAATGAGAGAATTTATGGTTGAATTAAAAAAAACTTCCTTTCCTCCTCCTACACAACATCACAGGAGAGGTTGTGCTTCTTGATCACTGGGCTAAAACAGATTGTTCACTGGAGGGCAGGTGGACTCGGTTTCGCCCCGTAGTGACATCTCGATGGTTCTATTGTTGTCACGTTTTGAAGAGCGAATGCAGAGTGGCGGGTGGGGACTGATATTTAATCCTGGTGCTTTGATAGGGTTAGCCTGCACCCAAGGGCCCCAACGAGTGCTGCACACACGCACGTAACAATGAGGCTCTACAGCATCTGTAGCTTCTATTGTGTTTACTGTGACTGAGAGTATGACAAATAAGGTGCAACTGAACCAGAAATGTTGAATAGGAAAATGTCCAAATGTTTCCCAGATCATTCTCATAGTTAAGAATTATATAGTGAAGATGCGGGTCCAAAAACAAAACACATACAAATAAACCTTGAAGAACAAAATAGAGGAAAGGAAAGGTGAAACAGGTAGGTACTCAGTCATTTCAAGTTCTGTAGAGAGTGGGAGTTTCTGATGGGTTGGGGGAGTGAGTTCCAGAGAGTGGGGGCGGGTGCAAAGAAGGACCAGTCCTCAGGGTTCAGAGGCCTCGGTCTTCAGGTTTAAGAAGACTGGGTCCTCAGGGTTCAGAAGCCTCGGTGTTATGTTAGTCCCATATGAACCAGCCCGGACTCTGAAGAGCACGGGGACTGGACTCCTGCTGGTGCCCAGAGTCAGGACTAAACATGGGGGGGCTGCTTTTCAGATTCATGTGTGCTATAATCTGGAACAATCTACCTGAAGATGTGAGACAGGCCTCCTCTCTGACAATGTTTGAAACCAGGTTAAAAACAGTTCTGTTTAGCTGTGCAGACACCAAAATGTGTATCTTTCTTTTTAATGTACTGTGATTATTTATGATTTTAATGCGATCTTGTTTTGTTCAGCACTTTGACTTGCCTTGTGTATTAATTGTGCTATACAAAAAAACTTGCCTTGCCTTGGTCTTCAGGTTTAAGACGCCTTGGTGCTAAGGGTACACAAAGCTTGGTCCTCAGGGTTCAGAAGGCTCGGCCCCCCAAGGAGTGAGGAGGTTAGAGTCCGTGGATCTGAGGCGACAGGTGAGACAGTGATGGCGGAGAAGGTCAGTGAGGTATGACGGAACAGACAGAGACTTGTAGGTGAGGAGGAGGACCTTTTATTGGATGCGGTACGGAACAGGGAGCCAGTGGAGTTGTTTGAGGACCGGGGTTATGTGGACAACAGTCTGCAGAACTCAGTGCTTTTACTCTTATGCTTTGGTCTGAAGGTCAAAGGAAACTTTTCTATTGTCGATGTGGGAGATGCTTAGGGCAGCATTCGTATTTTGCCTTGGTATAAAACCAATCGCTTATGCTATGTACCAACAAAAAAATGTCTTCTGCTGAGACAAGATCCCAGAAATATTTTGTGATTTAGCGCAGAGGGGGTGCCAAAGGAAACACTACAACAATAAAGCCAAGGAAATGGAATGGGTGAGAAGAGAAGCCAAAGCCTGCTAGCAACTTAAGAAAGGTTAAAGTAGAACCATAAATAGGTTAAAACAAGACCACAACCGGACAATCTGAGCAGGTCTACTGTAAATCAACATCCAGGGCTTTTATACAGAACTATCCGAACAACACGTCTTCTGCTCTTTGGACCCCATCTTTTGTCTCATGTTTTGTCTTTCAATCTGTATTATATGTTGTCCATGCAAGGGAGAAAGTTATGAACGAGATGAAGCCTTAGTTATTGCACCACTTGTGTCTGGGGACTTCCTTGTAAGGGTTTGCGACAGGCCAAAACACAGTGGCACCGGTGACACTACCATAACAGGAGTTTACAGCTCTGTCTTTCCAATGGGACACTTTTAGTTATTTCCAAAACAGAGCCAGAGTGCTAAAAGGGAAGTGTGGCCAAAATGGACGAGACACAAACAGACGAAGTGTACACACTGCTACGGGGCTAATGCCGGAGCCACAACAAGCACAGTTTATGACTCTGCACCAGCGCAAAGAAAATCCATCTCAAGGACTCATAAAACAAAACCTCTTAAACAGAGATTGAGTTTCAGATTCATTTTATTGACAATTTCTCATTAAAACCACATTAAAGTTATGAACTGTCAATACAACCATAGATATTTGCACACTTTGATTTTGGCATAAACTTTTTGTCAATTCTAATGTAGGCGCCACCTGCATGTGAGAGCCACATCCTGTCAGACTTTTGAAGTTAAGCAGGGCAGGGCTTGGTTAGTACTGTGATGGGGGACCTCTGGGAACAGCAGGTGCCACAATGGGGCAGCTGTAAAGTGCCAAACTGTCTTGTCCGAGGGTTACATTGCTAGAATGAGTCTGGTGTGTGTGAATGGTTGGTGGTGGTCGGAGGGGCTCGCTTCTTTCAGTGTGCCCCAGGGCAGCTGTGGCTACAGTAGCAGTTTATCACCACTGTGTATGGAGTGAAAGAATAAGAAAAAGAGTGTCCCAAAATTGCTGTATAAAACCCATGTTATTTTTGTAAACTGGAGCAGATTGTATAGGATCTATATTTCTATAGTGGGAGCTTGAGCAAAGTTTTTAATGCAAAAGGAGGATGTCGTTTATACAGTTTCGTCTTTTATAAATTTTACACACAAAAAATAGCACCGCACATATTCAAATGAAACCAGGTAAACATAAAAGTAGTCACACACAATACACAGAGCGTGTATCTATTTCGAGCTAAACCCCAGCAGGTGGCTTGCATCAGCGCTTAGGTGCTGTGTCACAGAAGATTTTAGCAACAAAAGTTGGGGTTTAATTATAATGACTCGATTAGACTAATTGTGGATAGGACATACGATCCATTTGATAATGTTTTTCATTTTAGTGCTTTTCCAAAACTTTATAGCCAACAATAAATGTGAGGAATTATTGTTAATGAAATTTCTGGCATCCTTCTTGGATTAAGCAAAAATCTACACTTATAAAATCTTGTGTCGTATGACCCAACATTTTGAGATGGAAAGTTTAAAACCGAGCCAGAATAACTTTAGCCCCCAAGTTTGCTCAAGGTTAATTGGGTTTTATGGCTTTTAAGTGCATCTTTATGTTGACATTGCTTCGTATTGTAGGCCCCAAAAGACTTCCCCACAGCATCAGAAAGAGTTCAGAGGGACTCGGGCCTATCCTGTGTGTGTGTGTGTGTGTGTGTGTGTGTGTGTTTGTGTTTTTGGGGGGATTCTGGTGAGTTTGCGGAGGCCCCAGGGTGCGACCTCTTCAGCCCTGAGGGGGAGAGATGCTGGGTGGTGCAGGGAGAGAGGACTGGGAGAGGGTGAGGGTGCTCCAGGGCAGGGGGGAGGCTGTGGGAGAGACCTCAGGGTTCAGGCTCCCAGGGAATAACGCACAGACGCAGAGTTATTCACCTGAACATTTACAAACAGCCTCAGAGGCAGCTCACTGGAGACCGGATTTTGGGGCGCGAAAAATTAGCAATGCAAATATGCTGCGTGCAACAGGCTTTGAAAATCTAAAGTGCAGTGGAAGCATAGGGACGAGATTGGGATTGGATGAAAAAAGTCAACAAGAACCACTTTTTAAGACATCTAATTTTTCCCAATTTTATGTTTTTGCTTGTCTCTTTTCCATCCCTCTTCTATTTGATATCTTGATAGTTGATTGATTCATAATTTAGTTCTGTAAGTTTTACTCAGAAATGGTCAGATTAAAGTTGTACTAGTTGTCGAGATGCCATAATGAAGAAAACATAACATTTAAAATGGTTGGATTCTTTGAGTAGCTGAGGCCCCGTGGACTTGGGGCCTGTCCACACGTAGCCGGGTATCTGCTAAACCACAGATATTTTTCTTCATCCAAATGACAACGCATCATAAACTAATATAAAAAAACTTTGGGCAAAGTGAAGATTTTTGAAAACTCTGTTTATGCATTTGTGTGTAGACAGAGATAACCAGAGTTTTGCGTTTTCGCACGTCACAGTACAATATATATATATGAACGAACATGTTTGAAATGGTATGAATATGATTGAAAACGCTGATGTACGGTTAGGTGTGGATGAAGTTATTTATTTTTGTTACAAATTATTTTCTAAACGGAGAGGGGGGGGGGGGGGGGGGGTATTTGGCTTTAAAATTACCCGGCTCCTGTGGACATGGCCTTGGACTCTGATGACTGCCTCTAATTATAAGTTGGAACCATTTCCCAAACACACAAGAAGGATCTAACTCCAAAGTCTGTCTTTTTTTTTCGCTTTCACAGCTTATAGCAAATTTGACTGAAAATGAGATTTGTGGACCCTGTTTTTTGCTATATATTTTGACTACAATACTTGCTGGACTTTTAGGTGCACCTGTATACAAACAGCACCTGCTACATTTCAGGAGAAAGAACATCTTGTAGGTGATGATCAAAGCTCTCTAAAAAATCCTGTCTATTCTGACAATAACGTTAGTTCTAAAACAAAGTCAAAATGTTCAAAAAGTCCATAACTGGGCTCTAACAACAGCCCTCACCACATAAAAAAACAAGTCATGTGTTTTTCCCTGCACTTCTTTGTATTCTCACTCTCTGCTGTTCACAAACACACTTAGAAGCAGGAATGTGTGCTCAACAAAAATACAAAATAAATACAATAACCACATCGCTAAAGTAAAGTCTTTTTAATGTAACTTCCACATTGTCCTTATTAAATTCAACTTTAAACTTGCTTCTTTGCTGACGCCTTGTGGCTGGACTGCACTCGCTCTTCTAAACCTTCACACAAAGATCTACACAGCCCTAATATTTCACTTGTTTTTGAGCAGATCCATTTTCCAAAGTGGGGAGGGGGATTAAAAGTTCACCCCAGGCTGCATTAGGACTTGACCTATAAGAAGCCGGTGTGTATCCGTTGTGCGTCTTTTGTGCACTTGTGTGTTGAATGCCAGTGTCAAGGGCCTGAGAAACGTCCCGTGGACAAACAAACAGGGTCTCGTCTTTCCCTCCCCCGTCCCGCCTCCCCGCATCGCTCTCTGTTTTAACGTACACATACAGGGAGAATGCATAGGACCAGTGTTTATTGTCCCAGGGAACTCCAGGCTAATTAGATTTACCTTTCTTGTTTTTCTTCCCGTACATCCAAGCCTCTCCTGTGTTCAGTTTTGCAGTATTTGTCTTATGGGAAAATATGAGTTAAACTGTTAAAGCGGGGGTATGTAACTTTGAAAACGCACAAAATAGTCTATAACCCATGTAGCTAGTTCCTACACTGCTAAAAGTGATGAAAAATAAGTCAAACATTTATAATATTTGGCCAAAGTATTATAAATGGTTAAATAAATGGCTAATTTCAGCACATTTTGACAGAATGTACTCAGATTAAGATAAAAACCACTCAATTCATGCAATTCTTACCTCATAGTTTACCTTTTATTGCAGTAAAGCAGTGTTTAAATGTTTGGTTCCATCACTAGTTTTCAGGTGCACGTATTTTTGGCCGAGCTTTAAAGGTACAAGCCGTCAGCCAATCAGAGAAACCATGGTGTTATAAATGAGAGTCTGTAGAAGTAGAGGTTAGAGTGTGTTGCTGCTGGTGTCTGTTGTGAATGAGGTGTCGGCGGGTCTTGTCACGCCGCTTCACGTCTTCATTAGCGACGCTTTGAAACTTGGCATTTCCCATCAGTGCCTCGACGCCACTTGTCTTCTCTGGGATTTCTTTTCTTTGGAAGCGAGTGAGAGAAACTGCTTTGGTTTCTACGAGTGACGCCCTATGACTGAGAGCATCGATGGACCCCCAGCTGGAGGGTTAGGGTCCCTGTGCTCCTGAGTCCTGACCGAGGAGGGATGGGTCAAATGCAGAGATACTGTGTACCTGAACCATCCTCCAGCTGCAGGTGTGAGAAGTACATCTGCAAAGTGCACTGCCGCATGTGACATCATTCGTACAGTGTTAATAATAATAACGCATCGGTTTAATACAGAGCTTTTTTTGGACACATTATTCATTCACCTATAAACAGTGGTGATAAACTACTACTGTATTCATAGCTGCCCTGGGGCACACTGATAGATGGGAGTATGTGCCACAAGCCCCTCCCACCACCACCAACCATTCACACATACACCAGACTCATTCTAGGCAATGCGGGTGAAGTGTCTTGCCTCAGGACACGACAGTTTGGCACTTTACAGCCACAACAGCCTCACTGTAGCACCTGCTGTTCCCAGAGGTCTCCCATCACAGTACTAACCAGGCCACGTCCTGCTTAGCTTCAGAGGACTGACCGGATCTGGCTTGTTGTGTGGTTATTTGTTCTATACTATCTGTATTTTATCACATTGTTTTCAGACTCATTCTCCCGTTATCAACACCGCACTATACCGTGGAATCAATATGGAACCGTGAGATTTTGGATTTCGTCACATCCCTAATTCTTACACCACGTTTTAGTTCAAACATTTAAAATTACCAATTTACTTTTGTCAATATATCCCTTCCTTGTTTGGCTTCTCTCATTAACCACTCATTCAAAGCAGAATAAATTTTTGTGTTTTTTCAAGCATTACTAACTTACCTTGACATGACAATTTTTTCAGTGTACTTTTCCCCAGTCTGTTGTTCTCGGTGCCCCATCCCGGAGGTCAGAGCAGGGCAGGAGGAGGGGAAGGGGGTATTAGTGGATGTTTTAGCGTGGATAAAGAATGTCCATAAAAGGTAAAAGCTTCATGGCCCAAACCTGCTTACTGTAAACAAGCCCAGTGGAAAGAGGGGCAGAGGGGCAGCGGCTGGAACGCAGAGAGCAGACAGGACCGAGGAGGCGGAGGTGAGGCGGAGGTGAGGAGAAGGTGAGGTGGAGGTGAGAAGGAGCGGAGGAGGAGGTGAGGGGGAGGTGAGGAGGAGGTGAGAAGGAGCTGAGGAGGAGGTGAGGGGGAGGTGAGGACGAGAGGTGAGGAGGAGGTGATGGGGAGGTGAGGACGAGTGAGGAGGAGGTGAGGTGGAGGTGAGGAGGAGGTGAGGCTGGAGTGAGGCAGAGGTGAGGGAGAGGTGAGGAGGTGAGGAGGAGGTGAGGGAGAGGTGAGGAGGTGAGGAGGAGGTGAGGGAGAGGTGAGGAGGAGGTGAGGCGGAGCTGAGGAGGAGGTGAGGCTGGGGTGAGGCAGAGGTGAGGGAGAGGTGAGGAGGTGAGGAGGAGGTGAGGGAGAGGTGAGGAGGAGGTGAGGCGGAAGTGAGAGGAGGAGGTGAGGGAGAGGTGAGGAGGAGCTGAGGAGGAGGTGAGGCGGAACTGAGGAGGAAGTGAGGTGGAGGTGAGGCGGAGCTGAGGAGGAGTGAGGAGAAGGTGAGGAGGACGTGAGGGAGAGGTGAGGAGGAGGTGAGGAGGAGGTGAGGAGGAGGTGAGGCTGGGGTGAGGCGGAGGTGAGGGAGAGGTGAGGAGGAGGTGAGGAGGAGGTGAGGAGGAGGTGAGGCGGAGGTGAGGGAGAGGTGAGGAGGAGGTGAGGAGGAGCTGAGGAGAGAGGGGTTTAAGGGGGAGGTGAGGAGGAGGTGAGGGAGAGGTGAGGGAGAGGTGAGGAGGAGCTGAGGAGGAGGTGAGGGAGGAGCTGAGGAGGAGGTGAGGGAGAGGTGAGGGAGAGGTGAGGAGGAGGTGAGGAGGAGGTGAGGAGGAGGTGAGGGAGGAGCTGAGGAGGAGGTGAGGGAGAGGTGAGGGAGAGGTGAGGAGGAGGTGAGGCTGGGGTGAGGCGGAGGTGAGGGAGAGGTGAGGAGGAGGTGAGGCTGGGGTGAGGCGGAGGTGAGGGAGAGGTGAGGAGGAGCTGAGGAGGAGGTGAGGCGAAGCTGAGGAGGAGGTGAGGGAGGAGGAGGTGAGGAGGAGGTGAGGAGGAGGTGAGGAGGAGGTGAGGCGGAGGTGTTTAAAAAGGAAAAAGTCACCGTTTTTCTGATTATTGCCCAAGACTGATTTGGTTTATTCTGTATTTTTACAATGGTCTTTCAAAGTAACCGACGTGTCTTCTCCAACAACATCCTGTAACAACAACATCCTGTAACAACAACATCCTGCAACAACAACATCCTGTAACAACAACATCCTGTAACAACAACATCCTGTAACAACAACATCCTGTAACAACAACATCCTGCAACAACAACATCCTGTAACAACAACATCCTGTAACAACAACATCCTGTAACAACAACATCCTGTAACAACAACATCCTGTAACAACAACATCCTGTAACAACAACATCCTGTACCAACAACATCCTGTAACAACAACATCCTGTACCAACAACATCCTGTAACAACAACATCCTGTAACAACAACATCCTGTAACAACAACATCCTGTAACAACAACATCCTGTACCAACAACATCCTGTAACAACAACATCCTGTACCAACAACATCCTGCAACAACAACATCCTGTAACAACAACATCCTGTAACAACAACATCCTGTAACAACAACATCCTGTAACAACAACATCCTGTAACAACAACATCCTGTACCAACAACATCCTGTAACAACAACATCCTGTACCAACAACATCCTGTAACAACAACATCCTGTAACAACAACATCCTGTAACAACAACATCCTGTAACAACAACATGACAGACACCCTCATTTAAAGTCAGAGGAAAACTTTTGTGGCGTGTGTGCACCGTGGTGATAAGTTCAGGGGACTCTCTGGTCTCTCTCTTACTTGTCTCTCGCACTCTGGTCTCCCTCACTCTGTCTCTCCCGGTCTCGGTATGTCTCTGTTTCTCTCTCTTCAATCTCTCTCTGGTCTTTCTCCGGTCTCTCTCTCTCTCTCTCTGATCACTCTCTGGTCCTTCTCATTCTTGTCTCTCTCTCTCTCTCTCTCTCTCTAGTCTCCCTCATTCTGTCTCTGGTCTCTCTCTCTTTGGTCTCTCTTTGGTCTCTCTCTTTGGTATCTCTCTGGTCTCTCTCTGGTCTCTCTCTGGTCTCTTTCTCTGTTCTTTCTCTCGTCTCTCTGGTCTCTCTCTGGTCTTTCACTAGTCTCTCTGGTCTCTCTCTCTGGTCTCTCCTGTTGTCTATCTCTGGTCTCTCTCTGGTCTTTCTCTGGTCTCCCTCTGGTCTCTCCCTCTGGTCTCTCTCTCTGGTCTCTCTCTCTGGTCTCTCTCTGGTCTCTCTCTGGTCTCTCTCTGGTCTCTCTCTGGTCTCTCTCTGGTCTCTCCCTGGTCTCTCTGGGTTCTCACTGGGTTCTCACTGGTCTCTCTCTGGTCTCTCTCTGGTCTCTTTCTCTCTGGTCTCTCTCTGGTCTCTCTCTGGGTTCTCTCTGGTCTCTCTCTGGTCTCTCTCTGGTCTCTCTCTGATCTCTCTCTGGTCTCTCTGTCTGGTCTCTCTCTGGTCTCTCTCTGGTCTCTCTCTGGGTTCTTGCTGGTCTGTCTCTGGTCTCTCTCTGGTCTCTCTCTGGTCTCTCTCCGGTCGCTCTCTGGTCTCTCTCTGGGTTCTTGCTGGTCTGTCTCTGGTCTCTCTCTGGTCTCTCTCTGGTCTGTCTCTGGTCTCTCTCTGGTCTCTCTCTGGGTTCTCTCTGGTCTCTCTCTGGTCTCTCTCTGGTCTCTCTCTGGTCTCTCTCTGGTCTTCCCGTAGCCCTCAGTCCTGTCCCTTAGTGCTGGTCCTCTGCAGCTGTGAATGCACCACTTCTTTCTCCACTGCTTGGGTATAATTATTGTATCTTTTATTTGAACAAACCCGAGCACAGGACTGACCCCAGGAGTGAAGACTCAGATGTATTATTTAAATGAACAATCTGCTGAATAATACATTTTAAAAAACAATATTGGAACATTATTTTTTACATAATTTCGTCTCAACCTCTTTGTACATGATGACGGAAAGCAACACAAATACTGAAGCATGAAAAGTATTTAGAAAACCACAAACGCACTAATACATAATTCTTCAAGGTACTCTGTGTACTTTTGGCTCGAGTCGAAAACCCGATCGGGAGACGACCGACCACCGCAGCTTTGGGTCTCAAAGCCGGAGACTGAATATGGACACAAAACAATTCGGTTCTTTATCATTAAAAAAACACATCAAACTCACAAGATGGAAGATTTGGGTGAGGAAAAAATCCAACTTGACCATTTAATTTATAAGAAGCAAAAGTATTTACCCGAAAGACACGGCACAAAAAGGTCAAAAGCTAAAGAAAAAAGTGCACATTCAGATGATTACGTGATCCACTGTGTATTTGTGCTCAATTCAACCTGATTGGAACAGAAACGCATGCAATTTTGTAAGAATTAAACAAGGGCAAACTAATTATAGAGGGTCATATCCACTGAAGAAATAATAAAACAAATCAAAACTGCTTTTCCTTTACTCAAAGTTGATCAAACATTGCCCGACTTCTTTTCTCTGTTGACCTGGGCAGAGTTCAAACCCCACATTCAAGCACTAAAATGTGTTTTTGTTCTCTACAAGTCTCCTCTTTCCAATTTACTTGACACATGCCATTTTTCTATCTCTCCTTTTTAAGCTATATATCCACAAATGGATGAATAGACAGATGAATAAATAACATCCGCACATAATAGCCAAATCACATTGACTAGGAGCATTACTTTCTCAAAACCATGATTGCTTTTAGTCCTGTTTTTGTATTTTCTCAAAGTAAAAAACGTGTCTCTTAAATTTGTGTATGCAAACAGGGGTGACTGTACCAGGCAGGGGCAGCGTAACAATGCAAAGTGTTCGGATGTGTTCAAATGAATAGTGGGAGGAAAAAACTCGACAAATGAAGATGCATCAAGGTGGAGGAGTGTGAATAGGAGCGGCTGATTTGCGTAATCCCATCGGAGAAATTGCTTTTAAATGCAATATTCAATTTCAGCACTCGGGGAAGGCAGAGAGGGGCAGCGGCGGCGGGGAGGGGAGGGGGAGAGTGGCTGGCTTTTCTGCTTAACAGTAATAACAAAATAATGTACTCCAGACATAAAAGCAAATAGGAATGAGAACTTCAGGAGACGGCGTGAAGAAAGCAGCAGCAGCAGGCTTCACTAACGAGAGCTGCCGGACTGGAAATGCAGTTCAAAACATGGATAGATACTTTATTGATCCCTGTTGGAGAAATACAGGTGTCTGGCAGAAACACATCCATCCAAACAAACAAATAACTGCATCTTTCTAAAAGTGACCACCTCAGCACTTTGGGTCACAGCAGCCGAGGTGGGGGCGATCATAATAATCATGATAATAATAATAATGCATTAGTTTTATACAGTGCGTCATTATTCTGTCACTCCATAAACACTGGGGATAAACTACCAGGTAGCCACAGCTGCCCTGGGGCTCACTGACAAATGTTGGTGAAGTGTCTTGCCCAAGGACACGATGACAGCCGCCTCACTGTGGCACCTGGTGATCCCAGAGGTCTCCCATCACAACACTAACCAGATCCTGCCCTGCACAGTTGATCTGTCTTTTCCATGTAAGTTTGGCCACACAACAGTGATGAGCTGCTTCCTCTGGTGGATGTTTGAAGAGTCTGATTGGTTCGGAACATTTTCTCTGCTCTGGTTCAGAGTAAAATTATCCAAAAAATTATCATTCATCCAGTGGATTTATGTTTTATCTGCTTTGTTTGGACCTTGCACCCTGTGTGTGCGTGTATGTACGTGTGTGTGCGTGTATGTACGTGTGTGTGTGCGTGTATGTACGTGTGTGTGTGCGTGTATGTACGTGTGTGTGTGTGCGTGTATGTACATGTGTGTGTGTGTGTATGTACATGTGTGTGTGCGTGTATGTACATGTGTGTGTGTGTGTATGTACGTGTGTGTGTGCGTGTATGTACGTGTGTGTGTGCGTGTATGTACGTGTGTGTGTGCGTGTATGTACATGTGTGTGTGCGTGTATGTACGTGTGTGTATGCGTGTATGTACGTGTGTGTGTGTGTGTGCGTGTATGTACGTGTGTGTGTGCGTGTATGTACGTGTGTGTGTGTATGTACGTGTGTGTGTGCGTGTATGTACGTGTGTGTGTGCGTGTATGTACGTGTGTGTGTGCGTGTATGTACATGTGTGTGTGCGTGTATGTACATGTGTGTGTGTGTGTATGTACATGTGTGTGTGCGTGTATGTACATGTGTGTGTGTGTGTGTATGTACGTGTGTGTGTGCGTGTATGTACGTGTGTGTGTGCGTGTATGTACGTGTGTGTGTGCGTGTATGTACATGTGTGTGTGCGTGTATGTACGTGTGTGTGTGCGTGTATGTACATGTGTGTGTGCGTGTATGTACGTGTGTGTATGCGTGTATGTACGTGTGTGTGTGTGTGCGTGTATGTACGTGTGTGTGTGCGTGTATGTACGTGTGTGTGTGTATGTACGTGTGTGTGTGCGTGTATGTACGTGTGTGTGTGTGGTGTATGTACTGTGTGTGTGCGTGTATGTACGTGTGTGTGTGTGCGTGTATGTACGTGTGTGTGTATTGTGTGTGCGTGTATGTACGGTGTGTGTGTGCTGTATGTACGTGGGTGTGTGTGTGTGCGTGATTGTGGTGTAGTCGTGTGTACGTGTATGTACGTGTGTGTGTGTGCGTGTATGTACGATACGTGTTGTGTGTGTACGTGTGTGTGTGCGTGTATGTAGGGTTCTTACGTGTGTGTGTGTGCGTGTATGTTGTGTGTGTGCGTGTATGTACGTGTGTGTGTGCGTGTATGTACGTGTGTGTGTGCGTGTATGTACGTGTGTGTGTGCGTGTATGTACTGTGTGTTGCGTGTATGTATGTGTGTGTGTGTGTATGTGTGCGTGTATGTACGTGTGTGTTGTCGTGTTGTATGCGTGTATTACGTGTGTGTGTGTGTGCGTGTATGTACGTGTGTGTGTGCGTGTATGTACGTGTGTGTGTGTATGTACGTGTGTGTGTGCGTGTATGTACGTGTGTGTGTGTATGTACGTGTGTGTGTGCGTGTATGTACGTGTGTGTGTGCGTGTATGTACATGTGTGTGTGCGTGTATGTACGTGTGTGTGTGCGTGTATGTACGTGTGTGTGTGCGTGTATGTACGTGTGTGTGTGCGTGTATGTACGTGTGTGTGTGCGTGTATGTACATGTGTGTGTGCGTGTATGTACGTGTGTGGGTGCGTGTATGTACGTGTGTGTGTGCGTGTATGTACGTGTGTGTGTGCGTGTATGTACTTGTGTGTGTGCGTGTATGTACGTGTGTGTATGCGTGTATGTACGTGTGTGTGTGTGTGCGTGTATGTACGTGTGTGTGTGCGTGTATGTACGTGTGTGTGTGTATGTACGTGTGTGTGTGCGTGTATGTACGTGTGTGTGTGCGTGTATGTACGTGTGTGTGTGCGTGTATGTACGTGTGTGTGTGCGTGTATGTACGTGTGTGTGTGCGTGTATGTACGTGTGTGTGTGCGTGTATGTACGTGTGTGTGTGTGCGTCTATGTACATGTGTGTGTGTGCGTGTATGTACGTGTGTGTGTGTGCGTGTATGTACGTGTGTGTGTGCGTGTATGTACGTGTGTGTGTGCGTGTATGTACATGTGTGTGTGCGTGTATGTACGTGTGTGTGTGTGTGCGTGTATGTACGTGTGTGTGTGCGTCTATGTACATGCGTGTGCGTGTATGTACGTGTGTGTGTGCGTGTATGTACGTGTGTGTGCGTCTATGTACATGTGTGTGCGTGTATGTACGTGTGTGTGTGCGTGTATGTACGTGTGTGTGTGCGTGTATGTACGTGTGTGTGTGTGCGTGTATGTACGTGTGTGTGTGTATGTACGTGTGTGTGTGCGTGTATGTACGTGTGTGTGTGCGTGTATGTACATGTGTGTGTGCGTGTATGTATGTGTGTGTGTGCGTGTATGTACGTGGGTGTGTGCGTGTATGTACGTGTGTGTGTGTGTGTGTGTATATTTGAGAACATATGTCGGTCTGTCTGGGTTGACAGATCATGGCCTTGTGTGATTGTTTTTATCCTGTAACTGTAAAACACTTTTCTTTTTACAGTTTGCTTTTGTTTTATAAATAAAATGTGATTAAATGATTGATGTGTTGATATTGGTATCTTTGCATCACTTTTCCTCCACTTTATCCAGTCCCGGTCACGGTGGCATCAGTTTGATCACCAAGCAAAGGTCTAGATGCTAATGACACGTCAGTGCTCAAAAAACTATTTTAAAGATTCAGATGGAGTTCTGTGAAGTATAAAGACTGAAACGTTGTGTGTGTGTGCAGCACGTCTGCAGAGGCCACAGACCTGCGCAGGACGACAATCACAGGTCCTTTTCACATTTGTCCTGGATAGAACGAGGAAACATTCTTCATTCATGTTATAGTGTAAATGTGAGTTTTCCTTTGAGCCACGAGTGAAGTGGGCGTGGTCTGCTCTTCATCCACATTCAGTCTTTATATCTCTTTCAACGTAAGGAATTTATGATCGAAATGTCTGGAGCCGCTGCAATAAAAGGTTTAAATTGGTTCACATTCCAGTACGACTGTAGCTTCAGTTGTGTAGAGATTTGTCACAGGTCGAGGTTCTCCACTAACTGCACGAGGGGGGGCTCCACTCGACGTCTACAGTTACCAATGGACAAAGCTTCAGCATTATTGTAAATTATACATATGATTTTTTTTCCATATCTATCTCTATCCATGAGCTTGTTTGTTTGTAGATGGGAGATTCTTCAGGCAAATCCTTGATCCGATGGTTTCAATTTGCAAAAGGAGTTAACCCCTCCCACCTGTTAACGGAGTCAATGGATCAAATCCATGGATCTTAACTGGATAGAGTATTACTAGCTTATGGCTGTGCCACCCTTGGGCACAGGGGGCGCCCGTGGTACTGCAGACTAACTTCATGAGAGCTACCCAAAAAACTGTCCAATAGAACTCAATGTAAATGAAAACAGCACGTATCCTGGAGTTGTGTCGGATCGACACCGGATGTAATCAGACCTGAATCGACTTGGACCAAAGTTCATTTGGAAGCGGACCAAGACCACCTAAAAGTGGGTCTTTGTCCGGTTCTTTGGCCCGGACCAGGATTTGTGTGCGGCACGGTGGCTGAGTGGATAGCACGCTCGCCTCTCAGCAAGAAGGTCCTGGGTTCAAATCCCGGTTGGACCAGGGCCTTTCTGAGTGGAGTTTGCATGTTCTCCCCGTGTCTGCGTAGGTTTCCTCCGGGTGATCCGGTTTCCCCTACCACTAAAAATATGTACAATAGGTGCCTCCTGTACTGGCACCCCCACTCCCAAAAATAACAATTGTAAACCGCTTTGAGACTCCGATGTGCAGTGAAAAGGCGGTATATAAATAAAGATTACTTACTTACTTACTGTATTCAGACCTGCATAAAAGCTTCGGATCAGAGTTCCAAACGAATCCTGGTCCGTTTAAAGTGGACCAAATGTGCAGGTCTGAATACACCCTAAAAGTAATTCTTTGGTGAACCAAAGACCACACAGCTGCACAGGTCCAACTACGTTTCTCTTTTCTCTTGTATCTCCCTCAGGCTGCTCTGGCCCCGTCATCTCCACTGAAGGTTTAACACTTTTCATCAAACCTCTAAAAAGCATTGAATTATTTGTAAGTTCAAAACAACTCTTCATTTTCTTCACAACCCAAGGACTCGACTTGACAGTAATGGATATCAAAGCACGTAATCTGCAACTTAATGAAACATTCTCACACGCCCTCTTCGGCACATGTCTTTCGCACACGCTGTTTTGAGCCGTTTTACTCTTTTTAATTCTCATTAGCGCGAACAGACGGTTGTGCGACACAGGTGCGCGTACGCAGACCCCGTTTGCGCAATCAGTGTGTTTATGCGCGCTGTCAAAAGCTGCATTTTGTGCCGTGACAAAACGCATCAGGTGAGAGCGCGCAGATGCCAAGAGGCGGCGGTGAACGGCGGCCTCCTCTTCATCACTCTTAAACACTGTCAGCGCCGTGACTTGGAGCGATGTGCGGAGCGGAGATGGGGACAGACGAGTCAAACAAACAGGATGAAATATGGAGGAAACCGGAGGAAGAGAAAGGCAGGAAAGAGAAACTATGTTATACCTATGAGAGAGAGAGAGGGGACCAGAGAAGAGAGGGACCAGAAAGAGTTCATGAGAGATTAGAGAGAGAGACTACAGAGAGGGACCAGAGAATGGGACACCATGAGAGAGAGACCTGAGAGAGGAACCAGCGAGACAGGGACCAGAGAGAACAGAGAGCGAGGGACCGGAGAGAGAGAGAGACCAGAGAGAGGAACCAGCGAGACAGGGACCAGAGAGAACAGAGAGCGAGGGACCGGAGAGAGAGAGAGACCAGAGAGAGAGACCTGAGAGAGGGACCAGAGAGTGGGACCAAAGAGAGAGCAAAGAGAGGGACCAGAGAGAGTTCATGAGAGAGATTAGAGAGAGAGAGAGAGAGAGAGACTAGAGAGAGGGACCAGAGAGAGTTCATGAGAGATTAGAGAGAGAGACAGAGAGAGGAACCAGAGAGTGGGACCAAAGAGAGAGCAAATAGAGGGACCAGAGAGCTGGACCAGAGAGAGAGGGACCAGAAAGAGTTCATGAGAGATTAGAGAGAGAGAGAGAGAGAGACTACAGAGAGGGACCAGAGAATGGGACACCATGAGAGAGAGACCTGAGAGAGGAACCAGCGAGACAGGGACCAGAGAGAACAGAGAGCGAGGGACCGGAGAGAGAGAGAGACCAGAGAGAGGGACCAGAGAGTGGGACCAAAGAGAGAGCAGAGAGAGGGACCAGAGAGAGTTCATGAGAGAGATTAGAGAGAGAGAGAGAGACTAGAGAGAGGGACCAGAGAGAGTTCATGAGAGAGATTAGAGAGAGAGAGAGAGAGAGAGAGACTAGAGAGAGGGACCAGAGAAAGGGAGACCATGAGAAAGAGACCGGAAATAGGGATCAGAGAGAGGGATCAGAGAGAAGGACCAGAGAGAGAGCACAGAGAGGAATCAGAGAGTGTGACCAAAGAGAGAGCAAATAGAGGGACCAGAGAGCGGTACCAGAGAGAGACCATTGAGAGAACAGAGAAACCAGAGGAAGAGATTAGAGATAGAGAGAACAGATATAATGATGATAATAGACCAGGGAGAGAGAAACCCAAAAAGGAGACCGAGGAGAGACCATAGATGGGGATCAGAGAAGGGACCAGAAAGGGAGACCAGAGAGAGAGAGAGACCAGAGATGCCAGGAAGTAGTGGAAAATGGCGGCCTCCTCTTCATCACGCTGACTTGGAGGGATGCGCGGAGCGGAGATGGGGACAGACAAGTCAAACAAAAAGGCTAAAATATGGAGGAAACCAGAGGGAGAGAAAGGCAGGAAAGAGCCGACAGATATTAGAACAGCGCCGCTTCTTCCTAAGAGCTCATATTCAGAGATTAAGAGGGCTGCTGGGAAAGAGCTGGTTTGAATAAAAGTTTGGAGGAAAGTAAAATACTGATTTAAAAGTGAGATGATTGCGATGTGAACAGAGCGGGGAAAGTATTATTAATGTGGGATTGGAAAAAAAAAAGGTTTTATAAAACTCATAACCCGTCGATGTCTGGTTAAATAGAGATTTGAAGTTTAAAATACTGTGATGAACAACTTTTTTACAACAAAAAAGACGTTTTTGATCCTTTTGATAATGATGTTTTTATGTATTTTTTATTTTGTGATGGGAAAGGGGGTCCTCACTGGGAATAAGCTTTCATCTCCACAAACCAGGCCTCTGAGACATGTATACAAACCAACTCCAACTCTGAGGAGCACAGGGACAGGCCTCCTGCTGGTCCCAGGGGCAGAACTAAACATTTCAGATTCATGCAGTTAAAACTTGGATTAGCGTTCCTGAACGTGTGAGGCAGGCTTCTTCTCTGCCAATGTTAAACCCATCTTAGCTGAGCAGACAACCGAGGGACCGTGGCGTGGGTGAACGACAAGGAGGACCCAAAATGCGGAAAAATAATGGATTAAATAACAAGTAATACGAATCAAAATCCAGCAAAAACACCACAAAATGAAACCAAACCGGGAACAGGGACAAGAACTGAAACCGACGTGGAATGACAGTGACGGAACAGGGAGTGAAGGAACACAAGGGGGCGGGGCTAACAACAGGACAGAAAGGAAGCAAGCTAAAACTACAAGAGAACCAATTTAGCGTGATAAACCAAATCAAAATAATTCCAAAAAAGTCTAGGATTGTAATTCCCTGTATTGTTTCTGTTTTGTTCAGCACTTTGAGTTGCCTTGTGCCGATGAACTGCGCTTTACAAATAAACTTGCATGCCTCACCATGTACTTGGCCTTGTGGGAGAAGGTTCTGCAGTGGGATTATCAGCGTATACAGCATCTCTGTCACCTCCAGAGAGATGTACGTACTTCTCGGGTGTTGGAGAGAAAATAAATGTTGAATGCAAAAAAACCAAAATGGAGCAAGGACGCTAACATTTGTGCGGAAATCCTAAAATCTTGGTATTTTGTTCCACAGGAGATGAACCCCAATCCTTTCCTTATGCGCATTTATATCTATGATGCTGTCTCAATCTTGTACAGTCACAAATACCTCCAAAAAGTGAGTATTTGTCTGTATCGGACACAAAACACTAAGAGACTAGTCGGACCTGGACTTTTCTGCTGACCTGAGCTTCCATGTCTCCAATGAACATCGCTTCTAAAACTGGAGTTAAAATAAGTGTGCGTGAGGGAGACCAGAGAGAGACCAGAAGAAGACAAGAGAGAGGGAGAAACCAGAGAGAGAGACCAGAAGAAGACAAGAGAGAGGGAGAAACCAGAGAGAGAGACCAGAAGAAGACAAGAGAGAGGGAGAAACCAGAGAGAGGGAGAAACCAGAGAGAGAGAGAGACCAGAGAGAGACCAGAAGAAGACAAGAGAGAGGGAGAAACCAGAGAGAGAGACCAGAAGAAGACAAGAGAGAGGGAGAAACCAGAGAGAGGGAGAAACCAGAGAGAGAGAGAGACCAGAGAGAGACCAGAAGAAGACAAGAGAGAGGGAGAAACCAGAGAGAGGGAGAAACCAGAGAGAGAGAGAGAGACCAGAGGGAGAGAGACCAGAAGAAGACAAGAGAGAGGGAGAAACCAGAGAGAGGGAGAAACCAGAGAGAGAGAGAGACCAGAAGAAGACAAGAGAGAGGGAGAAACCAGAGAGAGGGAGAAACCAGAGAGAGAGAGAGAGACCAGAGAGAGAGAGACCAGAGAGAGACCAGAAGAAGACAAGAGAGAGGGAGAAACCAGAGAGAGAGAGAGAGACCAGAAGAAGACAAGAGAGAGGGAGAAACCAGAGAGAGGGAGAAACCAGAGAGAGAGAGAGACCAGAATGAGACCAGAAGAAGACAAGAGAGAGGGAAAAACCAGAGAGAGAGAGAGAGACCAGAAGAAGACAAGAGAGAGGGAGAAACCAGAGAGAGACAGAGACCAGAATGAGACCAGAAGAAGACAAGAGAGAGGGAGAAACCAGAGAGAGGGAGAGACCAGAGAGATAGAGACCAGAGAGAGACCATGCAGAAGAAGACAAGAGAGAGGGAGAAACCAGAGAGAGGGAGACCAGAGAGAGACCAGGGAGAGGGAGAGACCAGAGAGAGAGAAACCAGCAAGAGAGACCAGAGAATGACCAGAGAAAGACCAGAGAGAGACCATAAAGGGAGACCAGAGGGACACCAGAGGGAAGAGACCACTGAGAGAAATGGAGACCAGACAAAGAGACCAGTGAGTGAAATCCAGTTAGAGAGAGTTCAGTGTTTACAACAGGCACTTGCCGCGGCCTGCTAAATCAAGACCCTGCTCCGATGGTCAAACATAGCGGTTGTAATCTGTAGATTGTGTGGATTATCTGTGGGGTTACAGCTAATCAAATAATCCTCATGTAATCAGGTCACATATAACATCCAGAGGTGGCTAATTTGTATGTTCTATAACTGAAAATAATTAAGACATTTTTTGTTTTTTTAAATACATTAGCTTAAAGGGATATTTGGATAGAAAAAATCATCTGTAAAGGAACCCCTACATTATATAAATGTGACATCAGCTGATGTAAAAGATTAGCCAGAAAATTGATCGACAAATTGTGTTTTACTTAATGAAACTGTGGATTATCTAAGATTATCCCTTTTGTTCATAAAGGGAGAATATTACAGCAATGAATTTCATTTTCATCTCTCCACAAGAGCTCATATCCAGGGATTAAGAAAAAGATGATTTCAATAAAAGTTTGGGAAGGGTAAAAAGTTGGATTGTGATTTTAATACTGCTGGAAATCCAAGATTGAAGACTTTGTTATCCCCGGGTCATATTGACCCTCCACAGTCATAAACATTCTTGATGGTTCCAGCTTCATCTTTCCATTCAAACAACCATCTACAGAAAAATATGGCATAATTTTGAAATAGTTTGAAATGCGATTAATTAAGATGAATTATTTTTAATCTGTAATTATCTCGTTTGACAGCCCATATTTATACAGAATTTATAGCATCTCTGCTGCTGTGACCCGTCCTGCTGCACCCAGAGGTTACTCCACCTCTGCTGCTGTGACCCGTCCTGCTGCACCCAGAGGTTACTCCACCTCTGCTGCTGTGACCCGTCCTGCTGCACCCAGAGGTTACTCCACCTCTGCTGCTGTGACCCGTCCTGCTGCACCCAGAGGCTACTCCACCTCTGCTGCTGTGACCCGTCCTGCTGCACCCAGAGGCTACTCCACCTCTGCTGCTGTGACCAGTCCTGCTCCACCCAGAGGCTACTCCACCTCTGCTGCTGTGACCTGTCCTGCTCCACTCAGAGGCTACTCCACCTCTGCTGCTGTGACCCGTCCTGCTCCACCCAGAGGCTACTCCATCTCTGCTGCTGTGACCTGTCTTGCTCCACCCAGAGGCTACTCCACCTCTGCTGCTGTGCCCCGTCCTGCTCCACCCAGAGGCTACTCCACCTCTGCTGCTGTGACCAGTCCTGCTCCACCCAGAGGCTACTCCACCTCTGCTGCTGTGACCTGTCCTGCTCCACCCAGAGGCTACTCCACCTCTGCTGCTGTGACCTGTCCTGCTCCACCCAGAGGCTACTCCACCTCTGCTGCTGTGACCTGAAGGACTGTGGCTGATTATTAATATTGTTAGATTTTTGGAATGATCAATTTTATTTTTATTTCTGCTGCTACTGGAATTTCTCCTACAGGGATCAATAATCTATTTAACTATCTATCTATCTATCTATAAAAACAAAACAATTTAATTTTGGGTTAAATGTAACGCACGTCACTGACCTTTGTATTGTGTAAAATATTACTAGTGTTTTTTTTGTAATATTTTACATTACAGCAAAAAGCAACACTTTAAACATATGACTTTTATAACACGTTTCTCCGAACACTGATCTGTGCCCAACAAACACATGCAGGCGTCCCACATGGTTCAAGGTCCCTGAATGTCTCAATGGGACACTGCTCATGAAATAAAACCTTTTTCCCACCGTCTGCTTATTGTCAGCGGACGTTCCGGCAGAAGAAGGAAGAGTTGGGAGAATAATATTTCTCTTGAGAGAGATTGATGCGATGTGTTCAGAGCGTCGTTGTCGGACTGCAGCACTGTCCTGTGCGGACGTATGGGAGAGCATTAAGGAAAGAAATTGCTCTATTATTTTAGCGACTGCGACAAATCACATATCTTCACCTTTGTCCCTTTCGATTGTCGGAGCAGATCTGCGGGGCGCGTGGGGGGCCGTGGGGGGGGGGGCGTGTGAGGGAGGAGGGGGGCGCAGGCTTCACAGGACCAGCCGGGTGAATAGAAGCTTTCACATCCGCAGATAAAGGGCCGCAGGTATGTTATTGGCTAATACACTTGAGCTGTCCTATTGTCAGAGGCAGACATCTCCGAGGGGAACTGCACGGTGCACACAAAAATGCCGAGCTGGAAAGTCCTTATAAATACCCTTGTTACACTGCAAAAAAAAACATCAGACAAGGCAAGTTTATTTGTATGGCACGGTTCATACACAAGGCAACTCAAAAGTGCTGAACAGAACAAGCTTTAAACTATGCAATCACACAAGGCATTAAAATCATGAATAATCACAGTATATAAAAACACTTTCCCAGTTCAGAGGTCTACACAGATACATAGACCTGTTTTAACCTGGATTTAAACATGTCAGAGCAGACGCCTGTCTCACATTTTTAGGAAGACTGTTCCTGTATTGAGCTGCAGGAAACTGATTTACTGTTCTCCCACCAGCCTCACCCTCAGCTCTTGCCTCACCCCTCAGCTCCTGCCTTACCCCTCAGCTTCTGCCTTACCCCTCAGCTTCTGCCTTACCCCTCAGCTTCTGCCTCACCCCTCAGCTGCTGCCTCACCCCTCAGCTTCTGCCTTACCCCTCAGCTGCTGCCTTACCCCTCAGCTTCTGCCTCACCCCTCAGCTGCTGCCTCACCCCTCATCTTCTGCCTCACCCCTCAGCTGCTGCCTCACCCCTCAGCTCCTGCCTCACCCCTCAGCTTCTACCTCACCCCTCATCTACTGCCTCACACCTCAGCTTCTACCTCACCCCTCATCTACTGCCTCACACCTCAGCTTCTTCCTCACCCCTCAGCTTCTGCCTCACCCCTCAGCTCCTGCCTCACCCCTCAGCTTCTATCTCACCCCTCGGCTTCTGCCTCACCCACCAGTCTCATCCTATGCTCCTGCCTCACCCCTCATCTACTTCCCCACACCTCAGCTTCTACCTCACCCCTCAGCTCCTGCCTCACCCCTCAGCTTCTGCCTCACCCCTCATCTACTGCCTCACCCCTCAGCTCCTGCCTCACCCCTCAGCTTCTGCCTCACCCCTCAACTTCTGCCTCACCCCTCATCTACTGCCCCACACCTCAGCTTCTACCTCACCCCTCAGCTTCTGTCTCACCCCTCAGCTCCTGCCTCACCCCTCAGCTTCTGCCTCACCCCTCAGCTCCTGCCTCACCCCTCAGCTTCTACCTCACCCCTCAGCTTCTGCCTCACCCCTCATCTACTGCCTCACACCTCAGCTTCTACCTCACCCCTCAGCTTCTGCCTCACCCCTCAGCTCCTGCCTCACCCCTCAGCTTCTGCCTCACCCCTCAGCTTCTGCCTCACCCCTCAGCTTCTACCTCACCCCTCGGCTTCTGCCTCACCCCTCAGCTTCTGCCTCACCCCTCAGCTTCTGCCTCACCCCTCATCTACTGCCTCACACCTCAGCTTCTACCTCACCCCTCAGCTTCTGCCTCACCCCTCATCTACTGCCTCACACCTCAGCTTCTGCCTCACCCCTCAGCTTCTGCCTCACCCCTCAGCTTCTGCCTCACCCCTCATCTACTGCCTCACACCTCAGCTTCTTCCTCACCCCTCAGCTTCTGCCTCACCCCTCATCTACTGCCTCACACCTCAGCTTCTACCTCACCCCTCAGCTTCTGCCTCACCCCTCAGCTCCTGCCTCACCCCTCAGCTTCTACCTCACCCCTCAGCTCCTGCCTCACCCCTCAGCTTCTACCTCACCCCTCAGCTTCTGCCTCACCCACCAGCCTCATCCTATGCTCCTGCCTCATCTACGGCCCCACACCTCAGCTTCTACCTCACCCCTCAGCTTCTGTCTCACACCTCAGCTTCTACCTCACCCCTCAGCTTCTGTCTCACCCCTCACCCCTCAGCTCTTGCCTCACCCCTCAGCTTCTGCCTCACCCACCAGCCTCACCCTATGCTCCTGCCTCACCCCTCAGCTTCTGCCTCACCCCTAAGCTCCTGCCTCACCCGTCTTTCCTCCTTTGCCAGGCACAGAGCTGACCTCCTGCAGCATTTCCATGATGTGTTTTCTGGCTGAGTCGGCTGATCCGTGGAGCACATAAATCCGAGCGCTCGTGGTTTTAAGGGACGTGCGTTTTATCTTCTCCGCCACGTTTCGTTCTCGCCTCCAGAAAAGCGTTGGGGTGACCTCCTCGCTCCCCACGCCGCACACGAGGAGCCGGGGACGTGTGCGTGACAGAGCAGCCGAGACAGAAGAAGAAGTTCCAAGTGAGGGGAGAATGTGGGTTTTTACAGCGAGGAGAGAGGTGAGGTCAGACTGTAGTGGTTTGGCCGGAAAGATTGGATATGCTCCGGTTTATGACATGAACATTTGCAGAATCTAAGAAGGTTTTTATGTTGATAAAGAAAGTTGTAAATCTGGCCTGAGCTAAAGAACAAAACTTTATTATTATTCGCAAATATTACATGTTTGTTCCGATAGAAAGAGTCTTGTGAAAGTAAATGATGTGGATAAATAAGACCATATGGCATCTCAACACCAGTCTTTTTGACGGCTCCCGTTCAAATTCTTTGGAATATCCCAAAAATCCGTTAGTTTTTCACAACATTTATCAGTGAGTCATTCACTCAGTTTTTATCTTTAGTGCATGGTAAAACTGTTTGATATAAATGAAATACAACATAACTGAATGCTACCTGCTGCAAGTAAACAGTGTGTTGCTATGGTAACTGGCCATTTATTAGTATAAAAAAGGAAAAAAGATAGCGTCATTTCTTTGAAATTATCTTGATCCTTGACTGGTCCTTAGAAAGAATTTCTTCAACATAATGACATAGAAATAAACTACATAGAAACAGAAAAAGTAACAAAGTTTTGAAGACTAAAAACATATTCAACTGGTGTAATCACATCCAAAAAGTTCCAGTGTTTATATATATATATATATATATATATATATATATATATATATATATATATATATATGTATATATATGTGTATATATATGTGTATATATATATATATATATATATATATATATTAGCCATTTCATACTTTGGGCTGAGAGCTGATTGGCTTAGTGAGGGGGTCCTCTCTTTTTCACTTTTCTGACTGAAAAAAAGATGATCTAAAGGTGAGACAGAGACCAGAATCCACACGTCTGATGCAAATGTACGAGTTTAAATGTAATCAACAAATGATTTCTGGACTCTGTAAATAAGTGATTTCACTTAAGCAGGCCTTGTCCTGACAAATCTATTGCATTAAAGAATAAACCTTTTACTTCAACCGCACCAAGGCGTCTGAAACGGAAATGGATCTAGCAAGACTTTTGTTTTAGATCTGCGCCACATGGTACTTTACCAGTGAGATTAGCTTGACATGGTGAATTCTGGCGCCCGGATCACAGACCATCTGATTGGTGAAACGGTGGAGGGCGGGGCATCGAAATGAAAACAATAACAAGATTTAGTGGCTGGAAACCCAATGTTGAAATCCAAACATCTCTGAACTACTGTTATCAGTTAAAGAAGTATTGGAAAAGAGCAAGTTTTATAAATGTTTTTTGACAGATTAGGGCCCTTTAATGATGACTTGACATGAAAATCTTACATATTTCTACTTAAAGACAACAAAAGGAACCACTCATTTAGTCACTGGTTTATCTTTGACCCTACAGCTTCGAGAACACCCAGCCTGTTCTCAATATAGTGGTTGAAAAAAGCAGGTACCTCTCCCTTAACCTGTCTCCTGTACAAACAGAATCTGGCCTACACATGTGCGCACAAATGATTTTTAAGCCCGGTCCGTGCCTCCTCTCTCTTTATTTTGCACCTCGCTGATGTATTTGACAAAGCCGTGGTATTAGGCGGACCACAGAGGAGCTGCCCTGAGTCTGTACACGCCGCTGATAGAAGTTCCAACACAAAGAGAAGCGCTGGAGATTTACAGAAGAGCGCATGAATTAATTGCTGTGTGGAGAGAGCGGAGCACGCAGGTCTGTTTAATGTCTCCCTGACATTTCCTACTCCACGCTGAAGACACTTTAAACTCTGCACGAGCGGTGGACTCCTGAGGAACAGCAGCAGCAGCGCCTCGGCCAAGGTCAGGAGCAGCAGGCCGAGGGGACGGAGGGGGACGGAGACATGCTTGCAATACCACCCCGGGCCGATGGGGGTGGACCCAGAAGAAGAATTAGCCAATGCTAACATATAGCATTGGCAGACCTCTCGAAAACGTCTTTACAGGATGGACCAAAATTGGCTCTTGGCCCAAAGCTCCGTTCCACATGTGTGTCAATGCTGAGGGGGGTGAATTTTATTGGTCCACTCTAGTTTACTTGCTGTGAATTTTTTAAGTCTCTTGTTCAAATGAATGGAGCTGCTCCGGCTGACGCATGCGCAGATGCATTTTTTCACATTTTTTTTTTGTGGCCGGGACCACTCACGGCCATTTTGGATAGCTCCAGTAGAGCACATTTTTTGGCCCATCAGTTAGAACGGCGGAGGTAGGCGTGACTATGGGTGGAACGAGGGGACGGAGGGGGACGGAGGGGGACAGAGGGGATGGAGTGGGATAAAGACGAAGGAAGGAACTGAGAGGAACGAGGAGGGAGAGGATGGAGGGGACAGACCCTCAGGAGAGCTGGGGTAGATTTCACAACAGCTGGATAACTCGTCATCAGACTTGACCTGAGGCCGACAAACCTGAATTCTGGATTCAAACTGGATTCTGGAAGTGAAAATGGGTTTTGATACGTCTTTATTGAATCACACCACGGCTGCAATTTACATGGATTGTTTTGACACAATCATAAAACAAATGTCAGTAAAACAATAGAGTCATCGAATGTATTCCAGAGGGTCTGAGGTTTACAATACACCATGACTGTATTGGTGGAGCTGAAGTTGGTTGGATGACACTGCCAATGGCGAATTTGTATTAGCAGCAGAAGGGCTGCATAAAATGGCACAGAGGGCCGCAATTGGCCCGCAGGCCTGAGTTTGGACATGCTTTACACTGATTCAGACCAGACCAGAGAGGAAGCAGGGTCCGAACCAAGCAGGCCAAGCGTAAATCCACTGGAAGAATGCTATTTTTTGGGGGAAGGAAATGATAAGGAAGCTTTCAGAATTTCACTCTGAACCAGAGCTGAGAAAATGGTCCAATCCAAGCTCACTCTGAAGACATCGCCCAGAGAACAGGAAGCAGCTCATCACCTGCTGCTGCTGTGGCCTGAAATGCTGTTGTTGTAATCATGTATTCATTTGTGTGTTTGTTTGTCGATCTGTCTTGTAGAGAAGTGAAATACGGTGTGTACAAAACTTGCTTTCAATTTGGGCCTTAAACATCTTGAGGATCGGAATAGTTCAGTTCAGAGCAGGACTGAGGGTTTCGGGAAGACACAAACGTTTTCTTCTGATTTCAAATAAAGGTAATAGTCATGTTTTACTAACGGTTCTATGATGTTACATAATCAGGGGTCTCTAATCTTTTCGACTGGAGAGCTGCTTTTATGAAACAGAAATAGCAGAGATCAGCTCCCTTTAGCAGTCGAAATAAAATTGTAGTTTACATAATGACTAAAGCAATCATGGAGAACACACATACATGACACACCATAACACTGTACAGTGCATTAGTGGAAACATTTATAGTTAAAATAGACATCAAAAGTGAATCATTCAGGCTCATGTGTGGAAGTCTTGAATCCTGGAGACCCCAGTTGGATGTGATGTTGTTGGAGTACACACACAGCGCATGAGAATCACGTACAAAATCCCACACAATGACACACAACACTTTGCAAAACAGTGAGGCTGACAAAAGGTGACCCACGTTTATAGCCAAGGACCACTGTAAACATGAAACCATGAATTAGAGATGGTCAGGAGGAACAGAACAGCCCCATCTAGTGGTAGAAGCGGGACACTAACTTCTGCTTTCATAATTATACACTTTGACACCATCCAATGAGAGGAAGTCAGGCGTGTACTCTGACTGGAGAATATCTCAAAATGTCACAGTCTGAGGATTTTATTTCACAGTCTATACCCAAAGATAGTTCTCTCTCAGACCAGATGCACTGCCTTTAGTCTTATAGCCAGACCATGCTAATTTTCAACACTTGGAGGCTATTGGAACAAAAACACAATTCTCTGATTATAATTGGTGCCAGTTTGAAGATGATCAAACTTGAGTTCAACCTTAATCTCTACGCAAAAAGTAAATCTGCGGGGTCAAAGGTATGTAGAAGGATATTCTACTTCCGGGTGGATCATCAAAACTATTGGCCCTCCCAAGTGTCAATCATTTTTTGTTCAAAAAGTAAAGAGGGTGGTTCTTTTCAAAATTTTTAGAAAATCCTCCAATAAACCTTTAACAAGACATGAAGCCTGAAGTTTTTGATTTTGTGAAAACCCAAAATCATCGTTGCTAACGGTTACCCAAAACGGCTTTAGTCATGATAGTTTGGTTTTACACACAGCCCTCTTTTATAACTTGAACGTATGGTTGTGTGAAGCGTACAGCGACAGATATGCAGAGTGGAGCCTCGTCAGCTCCGTCCACGTCTGGAGATGATTTCTTGGTCCTGAATAGAAACAGGTGTGGAGTTTGTCTGTGGAATGCACCTTCACACGGACCGACACCTCCAGCTCCGCTCTGCTCCGCTCACTCACTGACCCGGCCTAAAGAGAGGCCTAAACGCTCTCCTCTGCACTGCCTTTCCAATCCACTCCAACGTGTTTTTGTGGAGCCCTAAATCACAACAGTCATCGTCTTGGAGGTGAGTAATCCTGACAAACACATACAGTAGAAGCCACTGGTCCATAAAGAGATGTGTGTGTCGACCACCGTCTGTAAATGATAATGAATGTCCATAAATGTCTTGGATCATTACTCTCCCGAAACTCTCCTTTCACATCTCTGCAAAAAATGTAAATATGAGGTAATAATTGCTTGAATTGAGGTTTTTATCTCATTTTGAGCACATTCTGACTGCGATAACTCTAGATTCTCCAATGGGACAAAGCCTTTTAGTCTTTAGTCATTTTGCTTTGTCCCATTGACAAAT